TGGTGGGGGGGGGGGGGGGGGGGGGGGGGGGGGGGGGGGGGGGTTGGGGAATGTGTGTGTGTGTGTCTGTGGGTTTGGGGAATGTATCCAGAGACCTCTTAGGGGCAGAATATTTGGGGCTGTCTGTAGGCTCTTGGGTCTCTTTCCCACTCCTTTTAGGCTCCTCCAACTCAGAAACTCCAATCAGGTAGCTTGTCTCGGTAACTAGTTCCAAATAAGGCAGACCGGGATTGTTTCCCCAGCCAAAGGTGAGAGAGTGGAGAGGCGGCCCCGCCCGCTCAGTCTGGTTGCTATGGCGACAGCCGCGGGGTGACCCGAGTGATCCTCCTTCCCTCCTCCCAAACCAAGAGAGATGACGGCACCGCGCTGACTGCGCCAAATTCCAGCCAATGGGCAGCTGCTCCCGCCTTCCCTTCCGCCTGCTCTCCCCCTCCCCCCGGGAACTCGATTCACAAATCTGGACTGGGGATTTCCGGCTCCAGGACCAGTGCAAGGGTGCTGGGCTGGGGCCGGGAGAGAGTTGAGTCCTGTGCTCCCAGGAGGGCAAGTCGGAGCCGACATTCCTGGGTTCTCGGGCTAGACTTCTGTAACTCGCCGCCAGGACAGCTCACACCCTATTCTCAAATTATCCTGAAGACCTAGTTGAGGCGGAGTGCGCAGCTCTTCCTGTCCCTACAAGCCCCCACCCTGCCCGAGCGCGCCTGTCAGCACCACGGACAGCGAGCCTGGGCCTTGCCTTTGCCGGCCGCGCCCGGTCCTCTGGATCCTCTCGGCCACGGCGGCGACCAGGGTCGGAGCCGCGAGCGCTCTGCTGAAGCCAGACCTCCTTGGGCCAATGAAACAGTGAACGGGCTCTTAGCCATGTGCCTAAGAAGGCAACGGGGACTGGGCAGGGATCTCGAGCTAAATAGCTTTTCTTCTCTCAACCCTGGAGAATGGCTTACGTCTCCCCAGCTGCCTGTGTCCGCGCCTAACTGGCGACGAAGGGCCAGGGTCCGAGTCTTAAGCAGGGATGGGCCCCCAGGATTGCCCTGGGTGGTCGTGCGACTGAAGCAGCCTCTAAGCAGCCCAGTGGGGGGGAGGCATGGGATGCTGAGTGTGGCAAGCAGGCCCCACCTGAGAGGGGTGAACACAGATTTAATCAGGCCTGACTGCATCGGTTATATGGTGGGGAGAGACGGAGGAGGAAAAGAAAAGCAGCAATAATGACTAGCTAGTTCTGCCTCAACTAGTCACATCATAGAAGGGGAACAACTTGTGTTGTCCTCATCACTCAGTCACTAAGTGGCCTTGGTCAGGCAAGATGGAGACGGGGTGGGGGTGTGGGGATTCAGCTTTTTCACCAGGCCTCAAATCTTGACTACCTCACTTTACTCTCTAATCCATTCACGGTTTATTATTACTATTTTCCTGGTGGCTGGTGGGTACCTACGGGGATCTGAACTCTTGACCTTGGCGTTATTAGCACGTTGCTCTCCCAGGTAATCCACCGGCCAGCCTCTACTCTCTGTAAAATGGAAGCCAGTGGCGGGGGGTGGGGTAGCAGGTCTCAGGAACTCGATCTTCCCATTAGACCCCCATCTCTTGCCCTCCTGCCCTGCCCATGACAGTTCCACTTCCATTCCCATGCTCCCTCCCTCCCAGGGCCCCAAAAAAGGCCGGCGCAAAACCATCTGCAGGCGCTTCCAGCGCTTTATAGTACTCTCCGGGACAGTCGGACAGACAGACAGTGCGGCCCGCGCCGTTGGCCTGCTTCATTGGCACCTTGGACACGGCCCCAGGCCCAACCCAGTCCCAAGCACTCTCCTGGGAGGATTCTGGTCCCGCCCCAGCTCAGCACCTCGGACAGGTCCCGGCCCCCCTCCCCCCTCCCTCCAGAAACAACCAAATAAATTAAAAAGGGGGGGTGGGAGAGAAAAAACCCATAAGGATAAGGGCGCCCCTCCCCGGAGTAAGAACAGTTTTCTTTCGCCTTCCACCTGTCCGCAGAGGCACCGCTGCCGGGTGGTCTCCCAGGTTGATATTGCCCCCCAATTTCAGCCCCCTGAATGAAACCGGCAGCCCCCTCCCCCAACTCCCAGCACGTAACACGTTGGAAAAGGTGGCGAGAGGCGGTAGGGGTGGGGAGGGGACCATCCTGGTGACTGTCTGGGCTCCTGGGGCTGCGGCTTCTCATCACACCTCAGTCGACTCAAGGTCTGGGGAGAGGGGTGTGAGGACTCAGTCAGGGGAAGACATGTAGTCTGACACAAGCAGAGGGGGGAGGCAGACAGGAGGGAAGATGCTGACACATGACAGAAGCAAGGGAAGAGAGAACAAGGGGAGATGGGGACACAGGTGCAGAAGGAGAAACGGGGGCAACAGGATACGGTCAGGCAAGGGGTAAGATGGAGATGGAAACACACAACCAAGGACCGGAAAATGGAGAGGCAGAGAGAGAGAAGGGAGGAAAGATGAGGACACAGAAAGGAGGGGAGGAAAAGGACAAAACCAAGGGGAGATGGACTTACAGACACGCACAGCAGGGAAGAGGGAGACCCAGGCAGAAATGGAGAGATGGGGCGCAGACAGATGGACAGGGTGCGGTCGGGGGTGCCCTTCCCTCACTCATCCCCCATCCCCACCTCACGCCCAGCAAATTCAGAAGCTGCGGCCTCTTGGTGTCCTGGCCTCCGCCTTCCCCTGCGGGGCAGGGGCGGCTCCTCCTCGGCCGGGCCAGGGCGTGGAGCGGCGGTGGCTTGATGGTCCCGGGGGGTCCGAGTGTGTGTCGCGGGCTGGGGATGGGGGCGGACGCGGCCCCTGGGTGTCCCTAGCGGTCCAGGTTCATAGTCCAGTGCTTGGCTCCGGCCGCGCCGCTGTCCCTGGCGGCCGAGGAGGCGGCAGGCGCGCTCCCGTTTGGTGGAGCCCCGGCGCCGGCGGCGGCCTCGCCCTCGTTCTTGAGGTCTTGAAAGACCTGCGTGAAGAAGTGGGGGTCGGCGTTGAGCCGCAGCATCTGAGGGCTGAGCCGCTGGATGAGGCGCAGGCAGCGCTGCCAGAAGCGCTCCTTGTCGGGCTCCACGAGGAAGGGCTTGAGAGGGTAGGAGATCTCGTTGCCCATGTAGGAGTAGGCGAGGTAGAGGCAGGTGAGGAAGGCGGCCTGCAGCTCGGCGGCCGACGCCAGCTCGTCCCCGCGCAGCGACTCTCGGCACAGCAGGTACACGAACACCAGGTTGGCGGGCGTGATGAAGGCCTGGTCTTGCCAGCCCTGCAGCAGCAGCGAGCGGTCCACGCCGCGGAACCAGCCCACCAGCTCGCCGGGGCTCAGCTCCTTGAGGCGGTAGCAGCGTCGGCACACGAAGTCGCCCAGGCAGCGCAGCAGCTCGCCGGTGGACGCCTGCACGATGACCCTCCGCGGCGAGCCGCCGGGCACCTGCCGCGCCG